TTATCGATAGTATGAGTAGTTGTGATATTCTTATCGGACGAAACTTTACGGAAGATACTAGTATAATGTATTCTAGAGTTAATGATACATTAACATTTCAACCAGTAACAGAATTAAATATCTTAAAAATAGATGAATATAAATTAAATAACGTGCCTCTTCAACATGAACCTACAATTCGTAAGGTTTTATCAAAATATCCTAACTGCTTTTCTCGAGACTTATCGAATCTTGGTAAAACCGCACGCATCGAATTAGATATTGAGTTAAACTCTTGCAAACCAATTTGCCGTAGACCTTATAGAATGTCGGAATCTGAAAGAAAAATAATGCGAGAAATGACGGATGAGTTATTAAAAAATGGTATCATTCGTAATAGTAATTCGGCATACGCCAGCCCGGCTCTCCTTGTTAACAAATCCTCAGGATCTAAACGGTTATGTGTAGATTATAGGGAACTGAACAAAATTACTATTAAAGAAAAATATCCAATGCCATTAATAGAAGACCTCATTGACAGACTACATGGGTGTAAATATTTTACACTATTAGATTTAAAAAGCGGATATTATCAAATTACCATTAAGCCAGAGTCTATACATAAAACTGCGTTTATTACACCTGATGGACATTTTGAATTTATAAGAATGCCGTTCGGTTTAAGTAATGGACCAGCTGTTTTCCAAAGATTAATGGATACAATTCTAGGAAATCTACGTTTTGGTAAAGTAATCTGCTATATGGATGATTTACTGATAGCTACAGAGACTTTAGAGGAAAACATAGCATGTTTGAAACAAGTATTAGAACTTTTTCAGTTAAACGGACTTACCATAAATTTAGATAAATGTACCTTTTTGAAAACCGTAGTCTCTTTTTTAGGATACGAAGTCTCTAAGGATGGTGTCCGTCCTAGCTCACAAAAAATTAAAGCTGTCAAAGAGTACCCAACCCCAACCACAATCCATCAATTGAGACAATTTTTGGGTTTAATAAATTATTTTAGAAAATTTATAAAGGACTGTGCACTTTTATGTAAACCCTTAACAAATCTACTGAAAAAGGATGTAGTCTGGCAATGGGGTCCTGAGCAAGATAAAGCTGTAAATAATTTAAAAAATAGGTTAATAGAAAATGCGGTATTAACAATTTTTGATCCTAATTTACCCAATACCCTATATACAGATGCCAGCCGGGACGGCATAGGGTGTATACTTATGCAAACAACACAAAATTTAGAAAAACCAGTTTATTTTTACAGTAGACAAACGACTAATGAGGAGAAACAGTATCATTCTTTTGAGCTCGAATTACTGGCTATCGTGGTAGGACTTCAAAAATTCCGTCATTATCTGCTAGGTAATAGTTTCAAAATTATTACGGATTGTAATGCTGTACGATATGCTCTAACAAAAAAAGAAATAATTCCACGCATTAGTAGATGGGTACTGCAGACTCAAGAATTTTCATATGATATTGTACACAGAGCAGGTACCCAAATGAAACATGTAGACGCTTTAAGTCGCAACCCTGTAGAGATGAGTATTCAATATAACCATGTTGAAGTTATGTCTATAAATGAAAGCGATTGGCTATTAAGTGTGCAATTACAGGACCCAAATATTTGCAACATTAGGAATATTTTGATGTCAGGGGATGCCGATGCGAATAAACAAATATTCCGTGAATATGAAATTCTAGGTAACAAAGTATACCGTAGAACCGAATACGGCAGACGTTGGTTGGTACCCAAACTGTGTATATGGCAAATAATTCGAGCCAATCATGACGATGTAGGTCATTTTGCTGTTGATAAAACTGTAGATCGAATCCGTTCAAAATATTGGTTCCCACGACTGAAGAAAACGGTTTCCAAGTACATAAAAAACTGCTTGAACTGTATTTATTATAAAAGTGAACATGGAAAAAAACCAGGTCTCTTATATCCAATTCCTAAATATGCAAGACCTTTCCATACACTACATTTGGACCATTTGGGACCTTTTGTCAAGTCTACTAAACAAAATAGCTATTTGTTAGTAGCGGTTGATTCGTTTACAAAATTCGTATTTATATCGGCGGTTAAAAATACCAAAAGTAAGGTAGTGATAAATGAATTAAATAAAATATTCAAAATATTTGGCAACCCTAAACGGTTAATATGTGATGCAGGTAGTGCTTATACATCAAAAATATTCACAAGATATTGTCAAGAACGAAATATTAGACGACACATCATCGCCACTGCTATGCCACGCTCAAACGGACAAGTAGAGCGATATAATCGAACCATATTAGAAGCATTACGTAGCATGGGAGCAGACATAGACAACAACAAATGGGATCAACATACAACCAATATTCAACAAGGAATTAACAGTACGATTAACAAAACTTCTGCTGCCATCCCAAGCGAAGTTTTTTTTGGTTACAGAATTCGCATGAATAGTGATAAAATTGCTGATGAACACGAGGAAAATGTGATTGACGTTACGGCATTAAGGGAAAAAGTGGACGAAAATATTAAACGAGATGCTGAAAGGCAAAAAAATTCATTTGATTCAAAACGAAAAGAGGCACCTGGTTATAATGTAGGTGATTTGGTAGTGGTTAGAATTCCAAGTTCTGTAAATGACGGACAAAGCACTAAACTAATGCCATTATTTAAGGGTCCATTTCAGGTCACTGAAGTTCTAGGTAAGGACAGGTATAAAATATCTGATATGAGGGGATCCGAAAGAAGCTCAAAGGTTTACAATGGAACTACTTGTGCAGAAAACATGAAATCATGGATCCGGATAGAAAATCATAGCGAGATGTAAGCCGGATGTTATCTCATTATTAAAGGTAATAGCTACTCATAATAGGTGCATGATTTAAGTGTTAACTGTATAAAATTTTTATTTTGTTTGATTGCGTGCTACTAACTCATAATTGACCGTAACTTATTATGAGACAAGTAACCAGAACGTTACTTAAGTAAAATTTGCGGACAATTATTGAGTGAAGTAGCTGGGATGCCAGATATTATGACTTGAGATTGTTGTCGAAGATGTAACGGGTAACCAGAACGTTATCTAGCTTAAACACTTCACAGACAGTCGAAAGCTCATAGTATTGACACTGTAAATTTGTTTAGGATTAGACATAGAATAGTAGAATAATCGTATATTGATATTTTTATTTATGAATATATTTCTAATATACAGCTCGCACGTTCGAGGACGAACGCGTCGCAGGACGGCCGGATGTTATCGTCATTTAAAAAAACAGTCGAGAAATTGACTAATTTCTCCCCACTACAACATCCGCCACGCCGTAAGCGGGAAGCAAATATTAGACAACGAAAAAAAAAGGCGGTTCAGTCGCTCGACAGAAACGGAAGGGAACACATCGGTCCCTGTGTAGTTTTACTAAGTATAGAATATTCAATTTCATTTATAATTAGAAAGTACCGTTATGATTTATTAAACTTAAAATTCATTAGTTATGTTACTGATTAGATGTGATTTATAGAATTGAAACTTACTAACTAGGTTATTCAAAAATATTAATGTTATAATTGCCTAATTAGAATTACAATGGTCTAAATTTATTATTGTCCTAATTTATATACATAATTATCGATTATAGTGTTGTTAAAAATTGTCAAGAGGGTATTCAGAATATTATGGCTTACTATGTGATATGTTAAAATAAATGTATTAATCCTAAAATTGTTTTTAATCATCATATCTGTCACGCCTGAGAAAAAAATGTAGCTGTTAAAATCAATGCATACATATCTTTTGCATGATACTTACATAATAAAACTAGTATAATACTATTAACCGTGCCTTCCCGTCCCGTGTGGTCCTCGGCGTATAATAGGCCACCTCTTCCTTTCCCGTGGGTGTTGTAAGTGGCGACTAAGGGAGGGCGAGGAATGGGCAGCAGCGTCCCTCTTAAAATATCTCCAAAGCCTAACTGTGGTTGCCAATCCGCATGCCAAGCGTGTTAACTACCGACAAAACCCCCATACGGGGAGGCTTATCTTCAGCAGTGGACAGTTAAAAGCTGATATGATGATGAATACATACTACTAACACTCATTTTGTATTGAAAATAGTTTAATGTAATTAATTTAAATATACATGAAATTAGTTTTAAAATGTAACTTCTAAAATAGGTATATGTAGATAGGGTATAATCAAGTTAGTTTCGAAATATAAAATTTTATCTTGCATCGTAAATGCGTTCGATATTTGAATCACGTATCAAATATTTCGAATTCCCGCCAAAATCGTTTCATCCAGAGTAGGTACACAGAGACAGAGAGTCGTGTAACTGACAGAGTACAATCAGACTACACAACGAGGGGTGCAATAAGTCCCGCGCGGTTGCAGATCCGAGCAACAAGTGGGCAGGGGTGCGTGGGATGATCAACTGCGGTCGCCGTGGTTTGTATTCTTGAGATTTTATTATTTAAGCTCTTTTGGTTTTAAAATATAAATACGTAATTTTTTTTAATTGTATATAAATTACGTTTTTCTATACCTGTAGATATACGAGATATAAGGAAAACAATTGTTTGAGGTCAAAGTGAAAAAAAAAAAACATTTTTATTGTTTTATATATTATTTTAAACAAAAAAAAAATCCTTATATATATATCACTTCTTCTCATCATCCTATGTGTAACATTACTTCATTAACATGCACTAATTCGTTATTCAAATAGAAAGTCTTAATTAGAAAACTTGATTCACCATCAATTTTTTTAATGATTTGCTTTTCACTAATTAGATAAGTTTATAAAGAGACAAAACTTTTAATATCGTATACTGTATCGTGACTTTGTGATCGTCGCACGTTCTTAAAATGTCCTTAAATAGAAGATTGTTTAGTGAGACTTTAAAAAAAATAGAACCGATATACAAATATGCCGGTTTAAATTTATATGACAAAAAAGATAAATGGCTACGACGTGCTATATTCGTTTTCAATTTTGTCTGCCTCAATATGGATACAAGCTGCTCAATTAATGCTTTCATATCAGCCGAAGGACAAGAGTTTACTGATCTTTCTTATTTAGCACCGTGTATAATTTATACCTACTTAGCAAATATTAAAATCTATTATTTTGTAGTACACGAAAATACTGTGCATGAATTAGTAAAGCTACTAAAGAAACTAGAAGACGGAGTTAATGAAAACGTCATGAAAGGTCAAAAATCAATTGACTCGGATCGAATTTTTTTAGATCGTACTATAAAAATTTATGACGTTATGTACTATATGTTAGTACTTCTTTTTTCTGTAGCTCCACTGATTGTGACAGCTTTGAAATATTACGAATTAGGAACAGTCAATTTATTGTTACCATTTCCAGTTCTATATCCTTTTGATCCGTTCAATCTTAAAATTTACCCAATTGTGTATATTCATCAAATTTGGTCCAGTGAGTATTATTTTTTGTTATATATAATGCTACGATATTTATTTATTCGTTTTATTCAAAGTCTTTAAAAAATATAATTATTCTATAATACACACGACGATATAACAATAATATTATTATTTCACAGTTGTGGTCGTTATTCTGTTTGTACGTGCAAAGGATTACTTTTTGTACACCTGCTGTACTTATATCAAGGTACAATTTAATCTACTGCAGAAAGAATTTGAAGATCTTCTCTCGCCCTCGGACAATGTTCAAAATTCTATCGATGTTATTCCATTATCAGAATTTTATTCGAAGTTTAAAGATTTAGTTACACGGCACCAGGAATTAATAAGGTAATAATTGGTTAATTAGGTATAATGTTGGTAATATTTGATTGTATAAAATTTTTTATCCTTGCAAAACAAAATCCTTGCCTAAAAAATTTATTGTAGTTAACCAATATAAAAACATTTTTTAAGACCAACTATCCACAGATAATATAATATTAAATTTGTAGTTATATTTTACTTACTTACTACCTTTACTGTTTAGGCAATTTACCTGTGTAACTCACTACCTGCCCCTCGGTGTGCTCAAACTCTCGATAGCTTTAAAACCTCTGTTAAGTCCTACTATCTTTCCCTTTAAGTACTCTTTTCCTGTGTTCTCTCTTTATCTTTCTCCTCCATTCTCTCCTGTTGTATGTGTGTTATTAAATATATGATATATTAAAAAACACATTTCGTAAACATGCTTATGGGATAAACACATTTATTTTTATTTTCTATTATTTAAAAATGTACTTAATATTTTTATTATGTTAAGTTATGTACATACCATATACAAATATGTTATAATTATATTCGTAAATTGATTTTATTGATATATTTCAGATCTGTGACCATGTTAGAGGTAATATTTACGAAATCAATGTTGTACAATATTGGAGCGAGTTCCTTAACGATATGTTTGACTTTATTTAATGTTACAGTAAGTTAAATTGTTCAAGAGTTGAATTGTTTTATATTTTTTACTAAATTTAAAATTTTCAGAAGTTATGAAAAATATCAAAAATATTGTTTAATCATACAATTTTTTTAATATTGCTAATATATTTTAAATATTATTAAAATATTGTAGTTTTTAAAATTATAGATATAAATACTAATTTTTTTTTTCTTTTACAGATAATCAAAGATACTGTTTTAGTGATGTCATTCTTTATTTTTCTTTGCGTGACATATCTACAAATATACTTTTTGTGCAATTTTGGTCATATAATATCGCAATCGGTAATATTCAAATTATTGATATCATAAAATAAAAGAAAAATCAATCTAGGAACAGAGTGTAAGAAAACGCTTCTGAACACTAAATGTTAAATTCGTTATTTGTAGCAATTTTTTAAATGTTCATTCTATGTAAATAACTTCAGGTTTCAAAAGCGATTTTCGTTTTATCATAATACAAAAATTTAAAGTGTTTTTGACAGAACAACGTACTATATAATAATTCTTTGTTTTATATAAATAAAGCTAATATATATAAATGCCTACACAATATATAAAATATAAAATGTACGGCAATATTTTATTGCAGAGTATCGAAGTAAGTGACGGTATCTACAACAGTCAATGGTATTTGACAGACGCTTTGGTTGGAAAACATTTGTTACTAGTAATGATGAGGTAAATATTATTTTAGTACTAGAAAAGAAATAATATTTATATAACATAAATAAGTAGGATTCAAGATTCAAGCAAAAATATTTAAAGATTTCGTTAATAATTAATTTAATATTGTAGTGGCAGTAAATATAATGTAAAATATGGGTCTGATATATTTTTAGATCACAGAGAAGGTGCAAATTAACCGCTTACGGTTTCGCTGACATCGACTTGAAAGTGTTTATGAGGGTAAATATTCTATTTTTATCTTTTTTTTTTTTACAATAATCATATATAAATAAGTTTTATTAATAATTTTACAATAATAGCAATTTTCTTGTTACAGATACTAAGCAACGCTTGGTCGTACTTTGCTCTATTAAAAACAATTTATCCTTAAATGAAGTAGCTACGCACATAGACGATAACAATTTATTCCGAACACTTATTATAGACAAAACAATTACTCACTTAGTGTAAATAATATGTTATTATCCTGCACGCGTTAAGAACTTCTATATGACTAAAAATATCCTCCTTAAAATAACAAAATGATTAATTTCGCACGCATATGTGTACATCAAAATATGAACAGACTTATACGACCTAATTAGATGTTTTTATATATTCTTTATTATAACAGATTACAGTTTATAATCGCGTGAATTTTAAGAGATTACCTATTTAAGTGTAATAGGTACTTAACTAAATATATTACTCAGCTATTTCATGTGCCTATAAAAAGTTTATATTAGCTGCGCTGTTTCGATTAGGTAAATATTTTGATCAGAATGTCACTATAAAAAGCAAATGGAAATTTATTTATAATGTTAAAAGTATAAATTATATTATTTGTTGATTTTATTATATAAAAATATAATCATCCACATAAAAAAAGAAACCATTAATTTTATTTGCAGTTTTGATTAATATATTTTTTTCAATAAAATAACCTGTTATGATTATTTAAAAAAATATGTGATAAATTCACAAAAATTAATTGTTTAATTAGACAAGTTTTTGAGAATTAAGGCCTATTTATTTATTTACTCCTTATTGCACTACTTAAAAAATAATACAAAATGTAAAATTAATGACTATATTGATTCTACACTGTTAACTTGTAAGTACTCTATTTGTAGCGTTCAAGTGAATTTAACAACATTATTATTGGCTGGCAACACTAAAATTGTATTCTTATAATAGCAAATTGTTTTATACACCCGCAATAAACGTCAATAACAGTGTGTTTGCGTCTCCACATTTTTTATTCCTTACATTGATCTCAGCGACCGTACACAAAGTAACAGTTCATTATAAAAAGTTGCTACAATTGTACAAAAGATACTGACCAGATTTCTATAATATTTGTATTAGAAATTATACTCTCTTAGACAACTGCGTGAAAAAGCAGGAAAATTAAAATTTTTATTCAATGTATCACAATTTTGTCGGCCGAAGATGCACATCCCAACAAGATATGAGTACAAAAACCCAGTCCGCGCTGCGAGTTTGCGACTGTGCGCGGGAAATCCGTATCGACTGTCGCGTTATTTGGTTCACACGTGTTCGCTCAACACATCGGCGCTCACCTGAACAATGATTCAAGTTGGTGTTATTTTTCATTTCAATACACAACACAACATTGTATCTATTACGAATCGATAGTAAATATTCAATACTTAATCTGTGACACTCAAGTCTATAGATTAAGAATAGTATGTTTTAATCCATAGACATAGATAAGAAATATTACTATAGACGTAGAAAGAAAATATCATATTATCTTTAATCTATGATATTTTTAATTCATTTATATACATTAAGAACTAGCTGTATCCCGCGGTTTTGATCGCTAATATTGGTAAGTACATGAAGTATTCAATAGCGAGGATGAGTCGTTCTGTCACTTATGCGACCCAGAACTACAAAAAAAAACTATTTAGTACTTTTTTGCGTTAAAGAGTAATAAATATGCATCCTTCGTTACAAACATTTGCATTTACTATAATACTTTTAATAAAATATTACACTATTCTAAATCTACGGATTGAATCTATAGATATACAACATGCTGCACGTATATCTGTAGTTTCTATAAACCGATCTATTCAAAACTACCTCATTGAATAATAACCATTCAAAATATTTAAAAATTATAATATAATATTATAATTTTCTGTCAAGATACAATTTATAAAATATTAATTTTTAATTCAAATAGGAATAAAAATAAGAAACGAAAATAACAGCAACATCAAAAAATTCTATTTTCGATGTTATTATTTATATTATGTCTTCAAAATATAAGAATAAATAACTTATTAAGAAAATAAATTTAAAACATCTAAAAATCTCTACTGTCAAATTATTTATAACACCTACAGACAAATCCACAAATCTCAGACTAGTTCATGAATAATTAAAATCAAGTAGACAGTGAGTTAATTACTATTCATTACACTGTAATTCAGAAGCCCATTGTTACAAAATTGAATGTGTGTTATTAAAAAATAATTGTATACATCCATAAATCGACATTACTTAACTGTGTAATTACATTAAATTGTTATTAAATTGAAAAAAAAAAATTAATAACTGGCCACTTTGACGTAAGAGTTAGTGCTAAGTACGATTAAATTTTACAAGTACTATTTTGCTTTGCAAAAAAGTTACTTCAATCATAGACGTATAAAAACGTATACCGTGACAAGAGCTTAGTGTCCCCATTGCTAGCATTACATACATACATATTTGTCACGGCTGTCTCCCATTAGGATAGGCAGAAACAATGGAACGCCAATGCTAGCAATATACTCCAATAAAATCGATCTCTTCACGGTCCGTCCTAGAAACTATCGTGATTAATTCCTCGTGAAATTCGTCATGATGGACTAACTTACCTAACTTCATCCTCACCTATCATTCTATACTAGTGCTCCGCCAGCGTATACCGATAGCGCAGGTCCGTCCTAGAAACTATCGTGATTAATTCCTCGTGAAATTCGTCATGATGGACTAACTTACCTAACTTCATCCTCACCTATCATTCTATACTAGTGCTCCGCCAGCGTATACCGATAGCGCAGGCAGTGTCTTCATTCCATTTTCATCTTTTAAATAAACAGCGACGAGATTTCGTAAAACAATACGCAAATCCACATTCTAAATTTAAAATTCAAAAATTAATTCTGATTGACCATTGTAATTGTGTAATATAGTCACAAAAAAAAAAAACATTCGAATCAAGACTTTTTTGAAGTCGTCTAAAAAAGTAACGAGTGAGTTGTGGACCGTCTCCTTTTTGAAGTGATTTAAATTTTTCTTCATACCAATATACTGGTTTGTTGATTAGAATTATGTAGTATGTTTAATTCCGCCAAAATTTGTATTCGTGCAAGTTCCAACATTCGAAGATTGACTACTATTATTATTACCAGAAATTCTATAACGTTCCATATTAACTATCAACCTCGAACTATCATTTCGTCCGCGCACGTTTTGCATAATATAATATACCAAATTAATAAAAAGTGAAGTAATGTTATCCAATAACTATTTTTTGGCAATTAGCGGGAGAAATACGTTACCCATGATAAATTATCAGAAAAGATTAATCATTTTGAAAATATGATACGGAATTCTAATTACCTCATTAAAAAATAACCCTTCCATTTAATTACATAAACTATAATCAGTGTTCAAGTATAATTAAAGAAAGCTTTATATACTGAGATTTAAAACAAAAAACATCAAAACGTTGAAGAAACTTATTATGTTCACTTGAAAAAAAAATCTATCCGGTAAAGTTTTCATTATAAAAGTTGAAATATGACATTGCAACCACTATTATTCGATGAGTCCTTAAAGAAAATAGAATTTTTATTTAACTGGACCGGTTTATCGCTAGAAAGCGGGAAAAGAACGCCCATAGACACATTAAAATGTAGAGCAATTTTTATTTTTAATTTCATTTGGCTGAACAGCGATATATTTGGCGCCATTTCATGGTTCGCAGACGGTATTGAAAATGGAAAGAGTTTTACGGAATTGACATATCTGTTTCCTTGTACAACGCTCAGTTTTCTGGCCAGTATGAAATCTATAATACATATAAGAAAAGAAAATATGGTCAATGAGCTTATAGACGATATGAGGAGTTTAGAAACACAGAAACTACGTGAAAAAACAAACGGTTCTGTTCTTGAAATGGCTAAGAAGGAAATAAGATTCTTGAATATAGTGCTAAATGTATTGAATACGTTTAATGTAATGATGGTGGTGGTATTTACAGTTGTACCATTGATTTTAATAGCTATTCATTATTTGAGAACAAGCGAGGTACAGTTAATGTTGCCTTTTTTAAACGTTTATCCGTTTGACCCTTACGATATTCGATTTTGGCCTTTTGTCTATACAAAACAAATATGGTCAGGTATGTATGTATTATAAACTATTTAATAACATAGATCAATAACATCTAGGTAAAGTTTTATAAACCTATTTTTATATGAATACACCAATTGGAAGTATGCGAGACAAATTTATAAGGTTAAATTAAAAAATAAAAATAATATGTAATTTTTACGAATATATGTATGTCAATGAACAACATAACCTTCAAGAAAAGAGCATATTCCTTTTTAAAAGGCCGGCAGCACACCTTCAATGCCGTAGGTGTTGTGGGTGACCATGAGCGGCGGTAGTCACTTACCATCAGGTGAGCCGCATGCTCGTTTGCCCCCTGTGTTGTAAAAAAAATAAAATAAACAGTTCATAATTATTTAATATACAATAACAAATAAATAAATAAATGATCGTCATGATGTTTAGGGTGGAGCAATGTATAATATTGTGACAATTTTCGAACAAAAATAACTAGACAAACTTTACTACTACATAGTTTATACATAAGTAATTATATCTTATTTATTACAGAATGCATAGTACTTCTCGAGATATGTGCAACAGATTATTTCTTTTACACTTGCTGTACGCACCTTCGGATACAGTTCCAACTGTTACATGAAGCTATTGTGAGTATTATACCATCCGCGGGTATCTCGGCGAAAGTGTCCTACGACGAAGAAATGCGCAGCTCATTTGTGGAGTTTATTAAATGGCATCAAAAGTTGATCAAGTAAGTCATTTATTGAAATACGTTGTGCGTTGGTGCCGTATGGTCTCGGCATAGAATGGACCACCACTTCCTTTCTCGTGAATATCGTTAGAGGCGACTAAGGGAACTTAATAGCACAGAGATAAGCAGCGGCGTCCCTGTTTAAGGATCACTAATATCTAACTGTGGTTGCTAACCCGCCTGCCAAGCGTGACTACTATTGGCAAAACCCTCTCTTTGGGCAAAATGGACATAACAGAGTATACTGTTTCGCCCATGATACCCCCCGTGCGTTGCCATTCCTGAGGACTCAGGTGTTATTCCTCTGTACCCTGTAAATTCACGCCATATCCCATCCTTCAAACCGAAACACAGCCATGTAAACGCAACTGTTTCACAGTAGAAACATGATTGGGACAGAGGTACCCAAGCAAACGACTTTTGTACAAAGTCTCCCTTTATGGTATGGTATGATATATGGTACGTTGTATATAGAATAATGAAGAAAATGTGTTTAGAGCAATAGAAAAATACATAAGTGGTTCTCTCTACGTAAATCTATCTCATTTAATGTCAAAAACTCAATATTATGACCTAATGGTAATTTCCCTTAGTCGTCTCTTACAATACACACGGGAAAGGAAGAGGTTTCTCATTCTATGCCGTTGCCAAATAATAGCAATAATCAAGTATAATTTTCAGATCTGCGGACGTGCTGGAGGTCATTTACACAAGGTCCACTCTGTTAAACTTCGTTATAAGCTCTGTGGTTATCTGTTTGACGGGATTCAATGTGACGGCAAGTTATTCGAATTACGCTTTTTTATATTACTAGGAAATAAGTATAATATTATATATATATATTTTTTTTTTCAGAAGTGCAATTAAGAAATTATATCCGGGCGTCAAGGAATTGTTAGTAATGGAGACAGAATTACTGAGAATCCCATTGCTAGCAATATACCCAACCAGGTCGACCTCATCGCGGTTCCCGATATATATATATATATATATAACTAAAAATTTTTTAATGGATGATAACCCCGCCTGCGCGACCTGGTAGGATATATCGATAGCAATGGGGCTAACCTCCCTATTACGAGGGGAAAGGGATTGTTGGTAGTGGGGTCTAATTGACCTATTGCTACCAATATACCCTGTCAGGTCGACCTCCACGTGGTTCTCCTCCCGCTGGGAACCATCGTTACCATTCCATTGTCACCCATTAAAAAAACCTCACTATTACTAACAATCCCTTCTCCCCGCGTTTGCGGGGTTATCATTCTATTTTTGTCCACTGATCAACTCTGCGCGTTTTATATTACGATAGTGAAAAAAATAAAGTTAATAACTTTCTCGTTGATTAAAAGTAATTGTGTATTCTTATTTGCAGACCAATACAGACTTGGCATTTGTCGTGTTATTTCTAACGTTCCTCTTCATGGGTTTACTTCAAGCGTATTTCTTGTGTTTCTTCGGTGATCTACTAATGAGATCGGTAATATCTTTTATTGTTAAGATTTAGGTGTACTTAGCATATATGATATTTTATGTACAGATTCACGCAGGTGAAGCCGGGGGATGCAGTTAGTTGAATATGAATATATCTCAGAAACATCATCTCCCTACCCTTTTCTCTTTTCATTTAAGAGTTTCCTCTTGTCGATGCAACTAGTTCATGCATCTTCCTCAAGCCAGCTCTATCCCAGGCTATATCCTTATCCCACCTATTATTTGGGGTCGGCGTAATATGTTTTTTATCCATATTACAAAAAGATTTGGCTTATAGTTTTACGACCGGCTGCCTGCCTGACGTCAATGCACTTTGGGAATGCATTTGTTGGTGGTTTCCGCCACCTAGGGTATAGAGGAAAGGATTGAGGAAAAAAGGAAGGAAACGTTGGCAATGCGTATAGGAAATTGGTAAATAAGAGGAATAAGTGACTTATGTAGGAAAGGAAAGGGGGGGGACACTGTAGTTGCGGAAAGGACTGGGACACTGCAGCGGCTCGGGAAGCCGGGGTAGCATATCCGTATGCCCTTATTCTAGAATCAGACAGATTTTTAGAGAAGGACACGCATGACGTTAAATATGTCTCTTCCTTCTAGAAAAACACTAGTTTAAAAAAAAATTGTAAACAAATATCCAATCAATCCATCGATTTTTTTATTTGTATCTAAAAAAGGACTTTAAGCCTTCTTTTTGGGGAGTTTTGCCCGTAATTAACACGCTTGGCAGGCGGATTGGCAACCGCAGTTCGGCTATAGAGATGTTTTAAGAGGAACGCTGCTGCTCATCCCTCGCCCTCCCTTAGTCGCCTCTTACGACACCCACGGGAAAGGAAGGGGTGGCCTATTCTATGCCGGGACCACACGTCCAGTTCTATTGAAGCACTTTAACATACTCCCATATTAATACTAATGGTCTTTATATTCACCCTACCTTTATATTTCAGAGTTTGGAAATAAACGAGGCAATTTACAATTGCCGCTGGTATTTGGCGGAGTCCACGTTTGGGAATGATTTGCATATAGTACAAATGCGGTAAGCTTTTGTTTTTTTTTTCCTTAGCAACTTAAACCTTTTATCATCGCACCGCTCGCCATCGACAGGGGAATTCATGCTCACAGTCCTGAGCCTAAATTTTTTTTATACCACTGAGGTGGCAAACAAGCATACGGCTCACCTGATGGTAAGTGGTTACCGTAACCTATGAATACCTGCAATACCAGAGGTATTACGCGTGCGTTCCGACACTAAATAAACCTTTTTACCCCCCTTTTGAAGAACCCCATGCTGTAGTTTCTTGGGAAAACCTCGGCAGGAACCTCATTCCACAACCTGAGTGTTCGTGGAAGGAAACATCACTGAAACCGCGCAGTATGTCTGCATTAGTACCGCGAAATGGTCACGTACAGTGCGGTTTCAGAGAAATTTTCTCCCGCGAACGCTCAGCCTGTGGAAGGTGCTCTCTGCCGAGGTTTTTCCTAGAGACTACAGAATGGGCTTCTTCAAAAAGGATATATTAAGGTTTCTTCAAGGTCGGAAACGCGCACTTAATACCACTAGTGTTGCAGGCGTCCATAGGCTACAGTGACCGTTTACCATCAGACGAGCCGTATGCTTGTTTGCCACTTTTGTGGTATAAAAAAAGTAGCCAGTATGAGTTATAGACAGATTTATGTTAAGACTGCTTTCACATTGTTAATGATGAGCAGCAGAGTCCCTCTTAAAACATCACTAACTGCGGTTGCTAATCCGCCTGCCAAGCATGGCAACTCCAAATGAGTAAAGGCTCCTATTGAGTACGAAATTAGCCGAACATCCCTAAATTTGTAAATAATTAACAGTATAAAACATTAAACGTAGCTGTCCCTTTTTATCTCATGCATGCGATAGCGATGACGTGTCTATCACTCGAATGCTATTAGAGTATAATATAACTCACGATAGTTATTATTCAACAAAGAAAAATGAGACAGACGCAGCTGTCTGTTTTCATTTTTTGCGTGCAGTAGTGATGACGTGTCTATCGACTCAAATGCCATTCGTTCAGGGTACTGAACTTATAAACAATAGAGGTAAAACAATATATATATATATATAAAATAAGATCACATTAATTGCTTGTAGTTCGCAAAAACCTTGCAAGTTGACTGCCGCCGGCTTCGCAGACGTAAACCTCAGGGCGTTTATGAGGGTTAGTACTATTGATCTCTAATTGTTTACTTTATTGTTAAAAGTTTTGTAAATAGGTACAATTTTTTATTGATACTTGATGGAAAGTGGTAACCGTCGCCTATAGACATGAGCTGTACTATGGTTACAACAGAGTATACTGTTTCGCGCACGATACCCCCAAGCGTCGTCATTCCTAAGGACTCAGGTGTTATTCCTCTGTACTCTGTAAATTCATTGCCATATCCCACCCTTCAAACCGAAACACAGCCGTGCAAACACAACTGCTTCGCGGTAGAAACATGTTTAAGCAAATAATATCTCGTTACTTTTTTGTCTGTTTCATCGCAGAAGCACACAAGTATTTTTTTTTTTTAAGATTATTAGAATTTTTATTATTATTCATATAATAGTATTTGTTACATAATAACATAATTACATTTCTGTATTTCCAAATGTTGAGTGGAAGAAAATGCTATATAGCATTTAATACACTTTTTGTACCAAATATTTTCTTTCTAATAAGGTCAATAAGAAATAAAAAAATAAATTTGTTACTGCCTTGAAGTAGCTCTGCTTTGGCTGTTTCAATTTGGAAATTGTGACACGGTAGTGAAATTTTAAAGCATAACACCTTAGTCCTCAGGAATAATGAAGTAAGTACCATAGCTATGCTACTATTCTCGTCTATAGGCGATGGTTACCATTTTTCATCAGGTAGGCTGTAAGCTTGTTATTATATGTGTTACTAGCAAGTCGGCCCAGCTTCAAACGTGTAAATTGAATTTTCGAAAATAATATACTTAGATTATACAGATAGAGCCTCGAATCTCAAAAACGGGTCAACTTTTTGTCAGCTAATTGTCAAATTAGCTGACTCGTTTTTTTATCAGTGTTCTATATACTTACGCATACAATGTATCTTGACGTATTATTTAATAAATAAAATGAGAATTTACGCATTAAAAAGATGCAGAAATTATAAGACAAATATAGAAGTTATAAAGGAATCGCTCATAATTATTTATCACCCAAAATTGTATGAAAAATTTGACCCACTTCTCTCGAAGCATTTCTACGGAGACACTCTATTTATATAATGTAAGTATACAACCAATGTTACTTGCTGATAATGTAGCTTTCATGTGAATTTTTAAGATCTGTCAAATAGTTTTTGAGTTTATTCATAACAGACAAACAATCAAATCCTTCCTCTTTAGAATATTAGTATAGATAAAAAAATCTGTAAATACTTTTTATTTGCAGGTGTTGAGCAGTTCGTGGTCTTATTTCGCGCTTCTCAGAACACTTTACAGTACACACGACACGCAATAAAAATTAAAAAAAAAAAATAGATATTGTAAAAACAGATAGGGATAATATAAATATTACGGAACATATACACACAGAGACATATTTAAGGAGAGGGGAGTGGAATCTCCATGCCCACCCCAGAATTAACTGGTGCCTACACTAGAATATGAGTGAAAAAGACAGCTTTTTTTTATACAACTTAGAATGGCAAACAAGCTGACGGCCCATGGCAACGCATGGGGCGTTGCCATTCCTGAGGACTCGGGTGTTATTCCTCTGTACCCAGTAAATTCACGCCATATCCCACCCTTCAAACCGAAACACAGCCATGCAAACACAACTGCTTCACGGTTGAAACACGAATGGGACAGAGGTACCCAAGCAATCGACTTTTGTACAAAGTCTCTCTCTGGTAATTCACAAAGACATTTATTCATTTATTTAGAATTTAGAAGTAGAAGTTTGGCTTATGGTGATGTTTCAAGAGGCTGTTGCCCATCCCTCGACCATTAAGTTCCCTTAGTCACCGCTTACGACACCCACGGGAAAGGAAGAGGTGGCCTATGCCGAGAACACGACAAGCTCTCCACAACTCAAATAGGTATCAAACATGTACACCTACTTACGCACGTACCTATAGATTTATTAATTTTTATTTATTTATTTATACTTTTAAACACACATTTAAGCACACATAAAAATATATCTACAGAGTGGACTTAAGGCCTGATGGCATTCTCTACCAGTCAACCATTGCGCTAAACAGAGGGAGCAAATGGCTGTGAATTGATTTAACAAAGCAATTTGTAAATTAAATAAATATTTTGCAAGACAACAACATTAATATGTTTTAAAATAAATGAACAAACATATAAAATAAAATATGGAATGATACACTTATAAAAATTATACATACATAAATCACATGCAATACAATACATAAATTATTATACATAATACATATTAATATAGTAATTATATAGATAGGCTCTCGACAGTCTGCTGTCGGAGGATTCTTGGATACTTCGGTCATGTCGCTCGACGACAGTCCGACAATCTGGACAAACTAATGGTTGTGGGCAAGATAGAGGGAAAAACACCACGCGGACGATCGCCTAATCGATGGTCGGACCAAGAAACCGTCGTTACGGGACTGTCAATTGCAGCTGCCCTATGAGAAGCTGAAGACCGTACAAAATGGAATAACATCATAAGAGAGGCAACGGACACCTTTCAAGGACACGAGTTTCAGTAATGAAGAGGACGAAGAGAAAGAGAGAGAGATAATAATTATATAACTCAAGTCATATTATAGTACAAATTTATGTATAAATATAATTAATTAACTATAAATCTTATGTGTTTAACCTATGGTGTTTCATTTCATTTATAAACATAATTCTGTTAATACCTATATAACTACTGTAAAATAAACTTTTTACCCTCTACTACATACGCGTGGATTCAGGAACAATTAAAACATACCATTTCTAGATAACGTATCAAAATAAAACCTACAGCAGTTTTTAAGTTAAACCCTCAGGAACTTAATTATGTCCAACTGATGCAGTAGTTCTACCGGTAAAAGAATTAAATGAATATCACAAATAAAAAAAATAAATAAAAAAAATCATCAATGATTTCGAAAGAACAGAGAAACCTCCCAGTAATAACGTAAATATCGCTATGAAGGAAAATTTCTTAACTGCAGTAAAAGATAAAAAGCAATATGCACGTATCATTATTTATTCAAGAATACGGCTCCGGGCCATAATTTTGATTCTGAACTTAATATTAGAGTATATTGCCGCGGAGCCTTCGCAGGTAGCAAAATTCACATAGACGTGTCTCACCTTCACAAAAAAAGGTCGACAATTCTAAGAATTCCGTTGCTAACCTTTATATAAAGAAATCTTTTTTGTGGCTCTATGGTCTGACAAATTTTTTTGCGTTCCATTTTCAAAACTATGATTCGAATTTCTACCAAAGAACCTAAAATTATGTCTATTAATTCCTTGCGCGGCACAGAATGCATGTACGTGATATTTTTTTTTGTAAGTACCTTCAATACCAAAACGTTATGAGATGTTGAATGGATTTAACCTATTGGGAATTCGTATTATTTTCATAAAAGAAACTTATGTTGGTATTGTTGGTGTATGGCGGAATTCTTTGTATAACTGAATTCCGAGTAGGTATGTTTTTGGTTTTATAAGAATTCATAGTTACAACCTTAAGTTAACACAAAATAAAACTTACCGTACCTTTATGAATGAGAAGTTATATATATAGATACTCTTTATAAATTATCTTGATCGAGAATCGAATCCAGGAATTTCTTTTTGCAAACATAGTTAACTAAAACAGTAACTGTAAGCTACGGTTTTACCCATGTAAATCAGGTATACCCACCACCTAAAAACTGAATTCCATACAATTTTTGGTGAGCCGTTTAAATGTGTTTATTATTTTAATAAGTAATGTTAATAAAGTATTACACTAGAATATAGATTTTTTTACATATATATATTTATAATGTATGTAAAAAACAATATTGCAGTAAAATCAAGTTTTGTTAGCAGGTGCCGATTACCGATTCTTACCGCCCACTTTACCGGTTTTCCTCATCTATAATCTATGGAAAATCATAGAGCCGTGTGACAGTGACAGTATCGTTGCATTTATTAATAGAAACCATAGACTATAAAATATTTTATATGTAAATCAAATAGGTATATTAATATGTAGATTGTTCGATCACACGGCTTTTGAAAACAGGTAAAAATGGTAATATTCCACGTACCTGGATATTACGTATAATTTTCTTTTCACAATATAGTATTTCTCAGTATCATCTAACTACCTATCTACTTTAATCTTATACCTACCTAAATAATATTACAACGATAAATATTATGGAAAATTGTAATTACCTGGGTTGACTGATCCTCTACAAATGTTTCGTCAAGAACAATTTAACCTTTTTATTCTTGTATAAGTTTTTTTTTTATGTAATAGACTCGTCACAAACCTTATCTAAACATTATTATTAGGACACCTCAACACATACGATATTTATGATTTTATTGTTCTGTTGTTTCTGTGTATCCCAAAGGGAGACGAGCGGCATGCTACATTTTTTTATTCAACATAGATTGGCAAACAAAGCTACATACTTACAATAATATTATCTGAAAAAAAAAATATTGACAGAAGTGTTTATATGTACTATGTTTAAATTTGCAATTCTTTAATTTTTTATTCAATTTCAATGCAATCTTACATATATAAAAAAAATTTACTAGCCGAGGTCTGTACATAGGAGATATTGAGGTCGATTGTAAGGCGCTTTTTCTTTAAATCTATTTCTTAATCCACTATTTTACTTTGATATTTTCGCAAAAATTACTATATTAAGAACCATCATAAACTAATTTATAATAATTTTGGACCTAAATCTATAAGAAATTTAGTTCATATCGGTTAATAGAAATTTAATTTTAGTGACAGAGAAATGACATCCTAATATTAACCCTATTTAAAAATAATAATATGTGGGTTGGTCTTAATAAGATATCCAAATAGTAAGTTTTAGATATTTTGTCTTTCTGTCCGTATGTCTGTTCCGGCATTACGCAAAAACTACTAGACTAAATTTGATGTGGTTCACAGTTGTTTAATTTTGGACAAAATTTGAGTTAGACCCAATTAAAAACTAGTGTATGTTTTATCTTGATGCATCATATAAAAGTAATGCATTTCATATGTTTTCCTACTTTTGAAATCCACGCGTTTGAAGTAATGGTCAAAAAACTTGTAAAACATAATTCTACGACTAACGCCATCTATGGTTTCGGAATATTTCAACAGGAGAAAATAAAACAGCACATCGCTCTGAAGGAGCCTGGGCTGCTTTACCAACATAACATTGAAGAGCTGTCATGGCGTGTTGAAGTGTGTGCTTTTTTGTACACTAAACATAAATAATGATTCTCAGACAGTTTATTTTACTTAAATATACTAAAAACTGTGTCGGTTATTGTAAAGTATCATGATTTTTGTGTGTTAGTGATATATATAGACGCTAGTGTGCGCTAAAATGGACAAGAAAAATGCTATTCGAAGAGCCAAAAGGCCTTCCAAAGTGCTTGAAGAAAATTATTGGGATTGCAGCGTTTGTACGTACAGAAATAATGCAGAGGCATTTAAATGTTCCATGTGCGATGTCAGGAAAGGTAATTCACTTGTTAAATTTATGTAAATCACGTTTCTTTGTGTAGCAACTCCAGTGTGAATGCTCTAAACTATAGATCGATTTTTGGTTTCAAGTACTGAATGCTTGATTTGGTTCACTAAAAAGATCCAAATATACAGTTATTTGGGTATTCCTTCTATTTTGTAAACAGTTGAGACAATATTTGACAAAAAATAAGCAGTCGGTACCAAAACTGTCAGGTACAGTAATTTTTTTTTAAATTGAGTACATGAAATGAACAAACCTACTTAAACAACTTTTTTATTAATGTTAATCTTAGAATAATTTCAATATAAACATTTGTTAGCACCTTATTACAAGTAATATTATTTTGTATTAAAGTAGTTACTATCCACCTAATTTAGACAAAATTAGAAAAGGTATTCACTGACCAAGACTAGTATAATTTTAAATACTTGCTAGTATGCACATAGATAAATAGTTTATTGAGATTCTATATTTCTTAAAAAAATAGCAAGAAATTCTATCAGGCTCGCTATTAGTTTATTTGCTATTCCAAGTTGAATAAAAATAAGTTAGTTACTGGTTAAAATATTTCTTGAGTAACTATGTCAGTAGATGCTCTATCATTAAAATATACATATTTGTTGTAAATCACTTACTGTCTTTCTAATTAATTTAATTTAAATATTCTGAATACTAATTTATTATTTAGTTGGTAGATACATATCTAGATGTCTCTAACTATATATGTTTTGGTCCATTAATAAATTTACATTGGTGCTATTCATGTAATCCCAAACATATAAATGTTTGAGATTATGCCGATATTATAAGTTATAGAAATATTTGAGAGCCGACTATAATTTAAAGTAGATAACAGTTTTTAGTATTCATGATAAATTATATTTGAATTACCTAATATCAGATCAATAATTTACTAAAAGTATGTTAAAAAATAGTATGTTATTAGAAAATATTTGTATTTCATATGGTATTATATATTTATATAGTTCTTTCAGAGATAAGTCCACTTAATATACAAACTTAACATGTTCTGTTAAAAATAAAATAGATATTAAGGAATGACATGTGCAAGTATATAATCAATTAATATAAAACCTTTTGTTTATTTAAGTATTTTTTATGCAAATGTCATGTTGATAAAAAGATATGTCAAGATTAACTAATTTAGCTAAGTACCTATGGGAAAATAGATTGTAGGTATGTTTTGTATTTTAAACATACCTACTATTCTATGTTTAAGATACAAAACATACATTAATTATGTTTATTTACCTGAGATAATAAATAAAAAGTTCAGAATTTTGCCACCGTCGTCTGCTGGCGCTGCTATCGCGTATTATCCGACGAAATTACAAAGTTCCAATTCCATATAACATACCGTTTGTCTAAATCTGTACATTTGGTTGGGTAGTATCCATTGACCTTTGTGACGTCATGTGCTCAAGTACAGTTGCTCGTAGTAATTCTTTAGCATATTTGTGTGAGGGCAATAGGTAAATATCTAGTTGCATATAATTATATACCAGCTCGTGTCGCATAATAAATAATGCATTGTAATAAGGTATATACATACATATGAACCTACTAAGTGTATTCTATAATAAACTAGGTTAAATGTTCATTAAATTCTGTAACAATTTAGGTTTCCTTAAAGGATAAATAGGTGGTAGGTTAGATTATATTTTATAAATGAACTATATATATATATGCATATATTTCAAAACTAGGAAAACTAATTTGATATAATATTCCATCTTTTGTAAATTCATTTTTAAAACTACTCATTTTTCTGATTAATAAGGTAGATTCGAATGTGATTCGAATTTACTACCGCAAAAATACTATTCAAACCGAAACACAGCAATGCGTTTAGCATTAACGAACGTACCTTCACCATTAGGGTTTATGTATCGAGCCAAAATGAAATCATAGTGACTTGTAAATTCGTAGCACCGCCATCTAGTGTGCGTTCTACTAATACGTGTCAATGTCTCCATTGCTACTTCAACAAATTACGTTACGAGTTATAAATTACAGTAGATTTACCGTATTTTTTATTAATATTATAATTATAAATAAAATAATATTACATAGTAGTAATATCTTTAGTAATATTACTATTATTGATGTTAAAAAGGTTTTTTTTTATTATTTTTGTAAATATCACTACATAAAATATATGTAGAAGAGTTCATGGTGGTATTTCCCGGAATTGTTTTGTCCCGTTTAGTTGTTTGTACACTTTGAAATGGTTATACGAATTCTTAATGTAAACTGCACTGGCTTATAATGATTTAGATTCGATACAAGGAGATATTCCTGGTTCTATATAAAAAAAAAATGAGAAATAGGGTTTTCGGAATTATGAAACAAAATAAATTTACTCAGTACTTTTGTTGCACAAAGATATTTTCGTTTATTTTTCTATGATTGTTACGTCACGTCACGTTTTATGTAAATCTTTAAATGAGAATTGGAGTGCTAATTAAAAATCTATAAATTGTACAATATGATTTTATTATACCATTGAAAAAACATTGTTAAAACTTTTCCATATGTAATAATAACTCTATATTAATTATTAAATAAAAAAAAAGGAATCTCACGTATTAGAAGATTTTTCTTTCCTTTGAAATATTGCACATATTAACATAGTTCTAAAAAAATCGGACGAATTGAAAAGCTTTTCAAAAAAGGGGTAAAGAGGTTTCTTCGGGGTTGACAACGCGCACGTAATGTCCCTGATATTGCAGGCGTTCACAGGCTACGGTGACTGCTTATCATCATGTGAGCTGTATGCTTGTTCGCCTTAGTGGTATTAAAAAAAAAAAGCTTTTGGAAGTCACTAAAAATGAATTTAAAGTACACAGAATTCGAATTATTTTGAATTGAGAAGATACGCTTCCAATTTACAAGCTTGTCGTGTCTTATCACGCTCTGACGTAAGGTAGTGCCTACGAATTGCTGAATTAACAAACTCGCCTAGCTTGCGATGATTCATACACATTTTAGACTGGCAACAAAGGAGATCAGGACCTGTTTGAGTGACATACATTAAGGTTTAGCCGCAGCCGCAGATCATTAATTATTTCAAGTCGTTATGTAGTTAGAATACAATTTTCATCTACAGACTGTCGTAAGAAACGACCAGAGTATCTAAATACATACTATAACGTTTCTTTTTAAAGGGTGAAAATGGAATGGTAACCTCACCCGTGCTATCGGTATATACTGGCGGAGCACCAGTAGCAATGCAGGTCAGTTGGCCTACCATGATGAATTTGACAAGAATTAACCATGATGGTTTCCAGAGGGAACCGCGTGGAGGTCGACCTGAGAGGGTATATTGCAAGCAATGAATCTATTATAGACCTCATTACTAACAATCCCTTCCTTCCTACTGCGAAGTCGTTTCTTACGCACTTTTTCCAAAACACGTGGCAATCAATTGTTACTGTACCATTCTGCAGTAACTGTTTTTCGATCCTCTAAAACAATTGTCGCGTAATGACCTGTCCTTCCAAAGAATGAGGACACCATCTTTTTTCCCACGTTCGACTTCTCTTCACTTTAGTTGGTAACTTCTCAGAAGGAAACACCCACTGAGCTGACTGTCTTTTAGTTTCGGGATCATAATAGTAAATCCAGCTTTCGTCTCCCGTAACTATGTCTAACACAGAATTTGAGTCACCTCCGTTAAATCTTTCATGCAATTAACGGCACCAATCAACTCGACGGAGTTTTTGAGCCTCGGTCAAATTTGATGTGACGGATACCTCATAATTATGAGGTATCCACCGGGCACAAAGCTTCCTGACCACCAAATGTTCATGGAGGATTTTGTGCACTTGATTCATATCAATCCCTAAGCTTGCCCGGATCTGCTGATAGGTCACTCTTTTGTCAGTCTCTATCATACGCCGCACAACACTGATGTTATCTTCAGTCGTCGCCGTAGAAGGCCGTCCCTCACGCACATCATCGGTGAGATTAGTGCGACCACGTTTAAACTCATTAAACCAGTTGTAAACAGTGGCACGAGACGGGGCTTCATCGTGAAAGGTCAATCGTAGTCTATCATAACTTTCTTGTTGACTTAGATGACATCGAAAGTCATAAAAAATCATCGCACGAAAATTTTCTCGTGTTAAGTTCATGATAACGTTACACAGACTATTTTCAATTTGCCGCCAAAGCGTAAAACAAATGACAAACGAATAAATTATATACTCAGTATTATTCGTAGAGTTCCATTTTCAAAATTTTAACTATTTTTTTTTTATTATATTAATTTCAAGTAGGCAGTTCTAAAAATTTTCAGTGTAGTCCTCGTATATATCGGTCAGAATAGGATAACTTGATTACATATACCTTGTACACATTATCTTAACTTTCTTTAAACTTCTCTACTATTTTATTCTTCATTAGGTCTCTTCTTCTGCTATTTAAACTATTGATAAAAAAATTATCATGTTTTATGTATTCATTTGATTATATGTATAATCTTGTACGTATTTATGTAAAGTTGTTTTAAATTATTCATCATATCGGCCTTTAACTGTCCACTGCTGAACATAATCCTCCCCTTGGGGAGTTTGCCAGTAGTTGCCACGCATGGCAGGCGGATTGGAAACCGCAGTCAGGCTTTAGAGATGTTTTAAGAGGGACGCTGCCGCCTATATCTCGGCCTCCCTTAATCGGCTCTTACGATACCCACGGGATAGGAAGGAATGACCTAATCTATGGCAGTACTAACAACAATTCCATCTAGTGGTCAACTTATGGAATATTTCTGTTGTTTTCATAGTTACTCAATACGGATTATACAACCATATAAATAAAACTGTTTTTTTTTATACAACTTAGAATGGCAAACAAGCTGACGGTCCACCTGACGGAAAGTGGTAACCGTCGCCTATGGACATCAGCAGTACTGAATTCCAGGTGTATTCATCACGATGGGCTTACTGACCTGCCTTTTCATTCTCATCCATCATCTTTCACTGGTGCCACGCCAGCGTATGTCAAATGTTAAATTTTTTTTTATTTATACAACTTAGAATGGCAAACAAGCTGACGGTCCACTTGATGGAAAGTGGTAGCCGTCGCATATAGACATGAGCAGTACCATGGACATAACAGAGTATATTGTTTCGCCCATGGTACCCCCCATGCGTTGCCATTCCTGAGGACTCAGGTGTTATTCCTCTGTACCCAGTAAATTCACGCCATATCCCACTCTTCAAACCGAAACACAGCCATGCAAACACAGCTGCTTCACGGTTGAAACACGAATGGAACAGAGGTACCCAAGCAATCGACTTTTGTATAAAGTCTCCCTCTGATATCTTTAATACAACACTTTTTATAGTTACCGCCATATTAAAAGAATTTGGAATAAAATATAAAATTAAGGTACGTTTAAAATAAAAGAAGAATGCAGGAACAACGTAAAACAATTATTTGTTATCGTTTTTTATCTTCTACTTCTTACGCGTGGATTTCAGAAGTAGGAAAACGAACGATAAACTAATTCTGCATGGATTAAGATGAAGCATATACCAGATTTTAAATTAAATCTTCAAGAACACAGTTTTGAATATCAAATTAACTGATTTTTTTAACAACTGTGACAATTGAAGAGGTTTTTTTTTTTATAGAACGCAAATTTCTATATTATTTAAAAAACAAATGCTTCAACTTGAGTGGTACCCTGTAGGATAGTTTTTGATCCGATAAGAAAAAAAATGGTCTCGATAACTGGACCAAAACTATACTACGAGGACAAAACTATATTTGTCTGGTAAGTAGTTTAAATATAAAATTAACATTGTATCCCTCTTTCCAGGAGGTATAAATTTTATATATTAATTAAAAGTATTAGAACATGTCCACAACTCTTGGCGCTCCCAAAACATGGTCCCGTTTCTAGGAGCCGACGGCGCCCGACGCGTTCTCTGGAAAACGGACACTATTAAATGTAAAATTAATAGCAATAGAATAGAAATTATCAGAATTTGAATGCCATCTGAAATTAGGCTGAATTTTATTAATAAATTATATTTCTACCGTGAAGCAGTTGTGTTTGCATGGCTGTGTTTCGGTTTGAAGGGTGGGATATGGCGTGACTTTACAGGGTACAGAGGAATAACACCTGAGTCCCCAGGAATGGCAACGCATGGGGGGTATCATATAGAATAGGAAGAATATATTTTATTTCTTTTTCCATGTGGAAGAAGCGAAAGAGGTTTGTTTGAATCGAAGCATTTGGCGTTCCATTGTTTCTGCCTACCCTAATGGGAGACAGGCGTGACAGATATGTATGTATGTTCCATTTAGAGAGTGTCCCTGTGATAATTTTAACAATACTTGGTTACATCTTCATAGGTTCTGTTCAAGCCGAGTTTTATAGTAATAAGATTATTAAATGGAAATTTTGTCCACAGAAAAAAATATTATTGTAGTATAAACTTCATTGTTCATTTACATTTAATATAAATATCAGATTATAAACAAAAAGACTTATCCTTTAAAGGGATTTCTTCCAGTGAACCAGACCATGGGTTCCAGGACCCGAAATGAAAAAAAAAATAGGGTTTGTATATAAAACATAATGTATATCATGTAAAAATAATAAAGTATATTTTAAAATATTTTAAATTATTGATGATTTTACCTACACGTAATAGTTCCGGCCCCTTTCTTGTAATGTCCTAAGAGCCCCTGTAGAAGACAAGTGCTCTAATGTATAATTTGTGTCGAACTCAGCGCCACCGGCGGATGAAACAAGTAACTACCCCGCTGCGGTACTGAACACATAATTATAGCTCAGGACTAGCATACTAGTTATGTACTATGGTATGTACTTGCACCAGTCCCGGTTTCGTATGTATATTATTCCGATGTATCTATTAAGGTTTAGCCTTAATAAGTTATGAAAGTTTTTGGAAAGAATTTTTTAACTTCAAAAAGAAAGATGTTCTAAATCCGGTCGTATTTTTTTTTAATTTCTTGAATTAATAACCGATTTAGAATATTCTTTTTTATCTGAAAGTATATACATACAAATTGATCCAATAGAAAATTTATCAAAATTAGATTAGTAGTTTAGTTTTAAAACCAAACTGGTTTTACTACAATTGACCCGATCAAATAGGCGACGTGCTGAAGAAGGGCCAAATTAAAAGTACCCGTAACCGACGAGCGTGTATGACAAGATTGATGAATGTGGAAGAAGCGAAAGAGGTTTGTTTGAATCGAAGCATTTGGCGTTCCATTGTTTCTGCCTACCCTAATGGGAGACAGGCGTGACAGATATGTATGTATGTATGTATGTATCTATGACCCGATCATAGTATTTCATAGTAGTACGAATAAAAAAATTGATTATTCGATTCAATGTTTCGATTTGTTGTTATTACTTTTTTTATGCAACTTAAAATGCTAAACAAAGTATCGGCTCACCTGATGGAAAGTGGTAACCGTCGGCTATAGACATCAACGGTACTATGTGGACATAACAGACTATGCTGTTTCGTCCATGATACTTCCCATGCGTTGCTATTACTGAGGACTAAGATGTTATTCCTCTGTACCCTGTAAATTCACTGCCATATCTCACCCTTCAAACTGAAACTTAGCCAACGCAACTGCTTCACGGCAGAAACACGAATGGGTCAGAGGTGCCCAAGCAAACGACTTTTGTACAAAGTCTCCCTCTGGTATTAATATGTGTTTCTGTAATAATTTCAGAAGAATTTGCTTATTTTTTCGTTTATTGAGAGACAATGCTTTTAGCATTAAATCTGCCTTGCATACATACATGTACTAATGAATGAATAAATAAACAAATATGTTCTATTAAAACGGATTATAAAACTAAATTTCATTTTACGGTAATGCTTCTAAACTGCGTACAAATACGAGTACGGCAATACACTCAAACAGCGCTTCATTTCACACCAATAACGATTTCCAGGCTATTTCCAAATGTAACCTTTTATTGTTCAATGTGTTTTAAAACTAAGGCTATTCTATTCTGAACTTTGCCCCTATCGAATGAACTTCCAAAGTTGTTTGCCACCGACAAAGCTACTGGGAGGCATACATACCGATTTTCAAGCTTCCCAGAGGCTAAACCGTGTTCGGTCCCCTTGTCTCTAGGCTGTGTAGTTTCTATTTCTAAACAGAAATGATGTGTATATTCCCAACTGTTTCGTGATTTAAGCCGTTCGTTGTAATATTTGGAGAGAAAGGAAATAGAGAAATAAAGGATCTTATATATTTACTAGCCTACATCCGCGACTTGGTCTACATTATCTGGATATATCGCCACCACTGTTCTTAATACACTTTCTATTTTAACCTAATGGTTAACTAGTAAAGAATGCCATACGACATTAAGCCACCCATTTATACAAATTTGATTGTGAAATAAAGATTAAATAAAATAAATATATTTATTATGATGATTAGGATAAAACATTGAATATCCTCCGTTCTAAACACTATCCACCCTCTTTCATATTAAAATAAAAACTAAAACCTTCTACAAAGCTATTTTAGCTGTTACACTGTTTTGTCACTTTCTTTCAAATTAGAAATTTAGCACAAAGGAAAGGGATAAAACATATCAATAACTAAAGTAGGTTTATGACAGGCTTAGTGTTTTTATTAATAAAGGGGTAAATATCTACAAATATAAAACTAAATTTGACCACATAATTAAGAGTAAAGGTTAATCCAGTAATATAAATTTCACCATAATCTTAATAACTCTTAGAGTAAAGCATGTAGCCCGTCTGATGATAAACGGGTACTGTAACCTAGGACGCCTGCAATACTAGGGGTGTCACGTGTTCGTTGCCGACCCTGAAGAAACCTTAATATGCCCTTTAAAATAAAATCGTGAATCATTTCAAATTTTTGTTTTTGGAGCTATTTTCTCATCACTACAGAGTGAAGATTTTCTCATACTTAGCACATTTGTCTCTTAATTAAACTGAAAAGGTATCAAAATCATAATTTTTAATTAAAACTCATTTTCCTTCCACAAGGCACTTCGACACGCAAACCTCGGATCAATCCCGCGTTGGTCGCCGCTCAAGCGGCGGGCACGGCGCCCACTAGCTCACAGAAAAGGCCACGCTCAGCAAACTCGCTCAAAAAGAAGCGACGGCATCCGCCACGGCTCAGCAATGTTGACCGAAGCTCGGCGCAGACCAGAGAGGTGAGTTTTATCTTTAGGTCAACTTCTTTGCGGGGTAGGTATGCGAACGCAGTTGTGCAAGTCGAGACGTTGCGATGTAAGCACTGTCCATACCCAGACATCTTTTACCTCATTATTTTCATATAAAGTCTCATGCAAACATGTCAATTCTGAAGACTCTTTTGTTTATGCAACTTAAAATAGCAAACAGGGTAACGGCCTACCTGATGGAAAGTGGTAACTCTCGCCTATAGACATAAGCATTACCATGGACATAACAGAGTATACTGTTTCGCCCATGATACCCCCCCCCCCCATGCGTTGCCTGAGGACTCAGGTGTTATTCCTCTATACCCTGTAAATTCACTCCCATATTTCACCTTTCAAATCCTAAACACAGCCATGCAAACACAACTACTTCACGATAGAAACACGAATGGGACAGAGGTGCCCAAGCAAACGACTTTTGTACAGTCTCTTTCTGGCAAAAGGTCTTCAGATATTACGGTTTATCGAATTATAGTTATGGTTAATGGTAACCCCTCAATGATGTAGACAAAATTTTACAGAAGGCACAAAAAATATCTCCGTTTAACCCAAAATTATCTATTATCGATGAAACCAAAAATGCTAAGTCCTGTAACGTAAAGTTCTTTCACTGCAAAAAGTTGTAAGATCTCGAGTCTATAATGATTTGCTAATTGCACAGTGAGTGTGTTAGTGACAAAATTACAGAACTTTGACTAGTGATAATTTGTAAACTATAAGCTATAACTCATGGGGGAAAAAGGTTCTTGAGTGGCGACCGAGAATGGGTAAACGCAGTATAGGACAGCCCCTACACTAGATGGAGTATCGATCTGAAATGCATTGCAAAAAATCAGTGGATGCAGGTGGCTCAGGACCGTTCTTTATGGCAGTCTATCGGAGCGGCTTATGTCCAGCAGTGGACGGATAATGGCTGAAATGATGAAGCTTTTTCCAAGATTTTTCCAGAGGGAGACTTTGTACAAAAGTCGATTGCTTGAGTACCTCTGTCCCATTCGTGTTTCAACTGTGAAGCAACTGTGTTTGTATGGCTGTGTTTCGGTTTGAAGGGTGGGATATGGCGTGAATTTACTGGTTACAGAGGAATAACACCCGAGTCCTCAGGAATGGCAACGCATGGGGGTATCATGGCCGAAACAGTATACTCTGTTATGTCCATGGTACTGCTCATGTCTATAGGCGACGGTTACCACTTTTCATCAGGTGGACCGTCAGCTTGTTTGCTGTTCTAAATTGTATAAAAAAAGCTATAATTATTAGGTATATTGGCAACATAGTATATATAACTCATTATAGTATGTCCTATTGATCCTTAAAAATTCAAATTTCTTACTTTATCACAGTGAAGTTACAGGGGTATATATATTTTTTCCCAACCAGGTAACTGTGAGCGGTGTTACGGTAGTCATTACTGAGTACAAACCGAAGAAGTCAGTCTCGAGCAGTTCCAGCGACGTAGAGTCTTCGAACGACGCCCGACCATGATCCACTACCGCCCTCTGTGATCAACGCTCAACTTTACAGAAGTACCATCTTATTTATTTGGTCGGTAACTGACGTTTTGATGTTTTTGTATTTAACTTTAAATGCCAAATTAATAATTGATTTCTAAGATAGGAGGTATTTATAGTATTATTGTACAAGTTGTCATAAAAGCAAGCGAAGATTTGGTGTATATTTGTTCTAGTTTTAAGATATTAGTTTCTTATGGTTGGTTTAAAGGTAGTTCTCGATCTTCATTGTGCTTATAAAGAATAGTCGTATCAAATTCGATACAGCTCGATGATATTTTTATTAAAATAAATAAATAATGTTAACTTATCAAGTTACGTGCTCAGGTATGCGTGGTAGCGGATTAATTTGACGGATTAAACTAACTTTTATTTTAATAATTTACATCTGTGCTGCATCATATCTATGTCTGTAATCAACGAAAACTATTAGGTATATTCCAAAAATAGTTTTGAACTACATTTCCCATCAAAATAGCACAATGGAACTTCGAGTATTTCAACCTCGTATAAGATTGATTGATGTATAAATGTCGTTTATTTGTGTACGTACACTACTATTTGTGTGACGGTGGCGCCCTCTGGTGTATCTTCTAATATGCTATTACGAATGACGGCTTTATATGCTTTACTTGTCTATTTATTGATTTCAAAAGATTTATTAATTGAATTGCTACAAGAAGACAAGAATTTAACTGCGTGTATAATAATATGTTTTAATTCCTTAATGCCGCACGATTACAAAAAAAACCTAAGGTTAGTAAGGTTAAATGGAACTTATATACCATTCTCGCCCTTGACTGGGCGAGAATGGTATATAAGTTCCATTTAAGTTCGTTTTTATATATAATTTTTTTAAATTATTTAATTAAAACATAAGTAAATATTCGTTTGATTTACAGAGCGTTGCCTAACATGTAATTTGTGTGTATTTGAAAATATTTCCAACGATAAAATCAATAATTTTTTTTTTATGAGTAGAATAAATATAGGAAACAATAAGAAAACAGTTTGAATGAATTTTTAAATTAAGGACTGCGACACCTAGACAAGTGAGATCATTGACATAGTTTGAAATAGATGACGCATAATTTTTTAGCCTAAGTAAAGTTAAGCAACAAATTCCAGTACCTTTTTGAAATCCACGATCATAACTCTCACCGTACTGGTTTCGCTTTAAATTCTTTTCTCCTACATTCTTTACGGCTCTGGAACGCGATTCCTAATACCATTAAGAGACTACTGACTAAACCGTCTTTCAAAAAAAACATTAATGCTCACTTTTGTACTTTATCCGAGCAGTAAATACTTTATTTTATTCTCAGTTTCGTCTATAATATAGTATATTTTATATATGTTTAAGTATATGTGTTATTTATATATATTTATTCGTTTATATATGTAATTTTAGTATGTATGTATAACAATAATTACTAGTACCGCATTCGAGTATTCTGACATTTCTCTATAGTTGACTGGGATAGAATGCTTTTAGCATTAAGTCCGCCATATACACATATATATACTAATGAATAAATAAATAGAATAAATAAACGCCTCGGAAATTTTGGTTTCGCTGCCCATGAGATTGACATCGAAAAAATTTGATTACGAACTGAAACAGCAACAAGCGGTATCTTGGTATATTTTTGATATAGAAGTGTGGGCCGTTTTGCATCATAATTTTCCTCTTGTAGATTAAGATACTTGTGACATCTATTGGTATTAAGTAAAGCAGTGATCACAATTCTAAATAGTTTAACAACTGCAGTTTTAGTCTATTTGTGATTAGACTCTAAATACAGCCACAAAAAAAAAATTACACTGTGACAGAGGAGGAACCTTGTCTGACATAAAAAGTAAAATATTAGGTACGTAAGTGTATCTAATAGTGGATTTATTATTGGGAATAATCACATATAATAATTTAAATAGATGTCACAATACGAATCGTATCTACTTCGCGTATTTTGTTTCTTTATTTTAAATTTAATTCCAGCTGAATATCGATTAGAATTCCTATATGAAATCTATTTGTTAGTAAACAAAGGTAATAAAACAACACCCAGTTGTTATTTTTGAAAGAATTTAGTGCGGAAGACGTATGTAGTCAATAGTTTTTGTGACACCACATAGTTTAGTAGTGATAAATTGTCGTGTAAATTAATCAGCTTGCGTCGTCCATTCCTATCTATGTCTATGGGTATCAGACAACTTGCACGATCATATAATACTATAATACCGGACCTTGAAAACGATTGTCAGTGACGGCTATTTATTTAGATTAGATATAAAATTAAGCTTTAAGACGTAGTGGTAATCTAAAATTTTCCTATCTTTTGACTATATTTTTAATTTATAATGTTTTGTCCATAATAATATTTTAGTGTTTCCCTCTCATGTAGTTAGTATTTTATTTTTGTGTAACAATAATTATACTGTTGCTTAATGTGTACTTGTAACTATAACTTATACTAAATTATTGTAATTTATATAATGTGTAAATTGTTTTTCATAAAAATGAAACCGTAAAATATGGAATTGTAAATAAAAAGTAAAGTCCAGCTGGTCACTGCCAAAATGCTTGTATGTACATAAGGAGGATTATTTGGCGGTACGGCGTAGTCTTAAAACTGTTATAATCGGATAATTAAAAAAGAATGTTGTCATTCACCTGTCAGTCTGCGACAAAGTGTCAGAATGACAAAACTGTGGGTTTTAAAAACTAAATTGTAATGACATTTAAAATTCGAATTCGCTATTTTTTTCTTTTTCTATTTTCGATGTTTTATCGTATGACTTTTTAAATTTAATGCAAATTTTTTTTTTATTTTATTTAGTATCGTTACTAAAATTATATTTATAATTATTAAATTATAACCAATGATATAATAATAGTTGTCTCCCGCGCAATCCCTAATCTTTACTAAACTACATAGTTTTCGTGGGAAACATTTATGTTAAATTTGTTTTGATTGTGCGCTAATATTTAAAGCAGTTATTATTTCAGTTTTTTTTTTTATAAATAAATATTATCTTACGTTTTAACCTACGTGATTTAAATATAAAAAATATATTCTGTATTAATCAGGATAGATTATTATGATCAATTTACCCACAAAATTTCCTTAAAATCCGTGTAAGTGTTATTAAGCAACTTATATTTTTAGCAAAATAAAACAATTATACAATATACTTTAAATAAATTCTAATACATACATACATACTAATACGATTGTTTGGCCTATCTTCCAGATAAGTTCCGGCCTTAGATTATAGAGACTATCGAACCTCAAAATTCAACTTTGTTAATTAACTGGCTCGTTTTTTTTTTATTAGTATACTATATACTTACGCATAAAATGTATCTTGACATATTATTTAATAAATAAAATGAGTGTTTACTCATTAAAAAGATGCAGAAATTATAAGACTAAAATAAATATAGAAGTTATAAAGGAATCACTCATGACTATCACGTAAAAATGAATGAGAAATTTGACTTGTTTTTCTCGAAGCATTTCTGTAGAGACACTATCTATATAATCTGAGGTCCTGGAAACTTGATCGGGTTTGAAAGTATGTAAATGTGTAGGGATGCAAATGTATACTGATGTAATTGAACGTAGATTCGGTAAATTGTTGAAGCATGAAAACGGAATTAACTCTCCCAAATTAAGTCAGGGCGTCCTCTAGAGAACTTTGCCAATGAGTACTTTGATCACATGGAGGTCAGTGGTTTTAAGGAATAGATGTAACGAATGTTTATTTGCCACTTCATGTATATACTTTGCATAATATTTTTTCCCTGCAACTTAGAATGGCAAACAAGCTGACGGCCCACCTGATGGAAAGTGGTAACCGTCGCCTATAGACATGAGCAGTACCATGGACATAACAGAGTATACTGTTTCGTCTATGATAATCCATGATAATATTGACATGTATGTATAATAGAAAATGATTAATTTAACAATAAATTGAGTCGAATTCTTCTATTGTTATCAAAATGGAAGAGTTGTGATTATCATTTAGTTGATTCCAATGATTTTATTTATGATATATGACAATTCTAATTAAATTCTAATTTATTGATTTTTTTTTATTACTTCAGTAATAATAACACCAAATGTAAATATAATGTTTCTAGAAAGAATCTGAGAAGTAAATGAATCTGAGAAGAGAATGTGACACTTTTTATCCATGGTGGGCAAAATACCCTGTGAAATTGCCATGCATTGAACATGCAATTATATGCATAAAACAATATAAATATTGTATTGTATTGTATTGTAAAATCTTTATAGTACATAATTCAAATTGAACACTGATAAATGATTTAATATACAATGGCGGACTTACCCCATAAAGGGAAAATATTGTTGTTAATCAATAGTACTCCGCGGAATATTTCGTATCTAGCTAAACTCTACGCATATAATACGGGTATTTCGTCCACGAAAGATAAAATTTTAGTTAAAAAAAAAACTACGTATTTTAACGGAAATATGTGTTTATAAAGTGAAACGGTTGATATGCATTTGACGGACAAAAATGTACGTCGAGGTATTACCATCGTATGCGCGAGCCTTTTCAACCGAATTAAAAAAAAAGGCTCTGTTGTATTTTTAATGGTTGTATACCTCATAACTCCGTCAGTTATAAACCGATTTAGAAATATCTTTTTTTGTTTGTCTAAAAATATATACTTTCAGTTTGGTTCAATAGTTAATTTTGAAAACAAAATAACTGGTTATTGCCACAGTTGAAGTCTTTGTGAAATATCATAATAATATTTAGTAAAGTCATTATTGTTTTCACATTTTTAATTTTTTTTTTTATAACTCTATGAAATAACATCTAATCTATCACACCACATGTTCAAGCATTACTTTCATTACTTGTTTTCTACATTGGGTAAAGAAATATTAAAAAAGAAATATTCAACATAATCCATAGTTTGTTATCAGTTACCAAAAATCACAGACAGCCCCATTTGTGTGTTCCGTGCGTTAAGTATTTATTGTAGCTTTAAGGGCATTTTTTTTTAAGTTATTTAAATTAAAAATGTAATTTATTTAATTATTTACAAATTGAAATGTTTAGCCTACTTTTTTATTTATTTTTTATTGTACACAAGCTTAATGGTAACATTTTATTTTGAATACAATCTAAAAGGGCGAAGTTCGCCTTTTTCTTTTTGTTTATACTAATAAAAAACAAATTCGGTATTAATTCCAGAAGTCTGGTTATTCAAGGCTTCATTTTACAAATTAAATAGTGCCCTGTCATTTTGCGTTCAATCTTCTCATATTCGTTCATCATAATTCATATAAGCCGTTAATTATCCGCTACTGAACATAAACCTCCCTTTTCGGAGGTTTAGCCAGTTGTTACCATGTTTGGCAGGCGCGTTGGCAACCGCAGTTAACCCTTCTTTGCATAATGGTGGAAATTTCCATCGTAACATTGAATGCCCAAAAATTATATAAAAGAACAAGTTCACTTTAAGTTGATCGTGTCTGGATACCTTTTTAATGTCCATTGCAGAAAAAAAGCACATAGCTGTCAAATTTCTTTTTTTAACCATTTTTTCCTTTAATTTTATACATGAATTGTATATCCTTGATTTATTTCACCAATAAAAAAATAATGCAAAGAAAGGTTAAGCTTTGGTGATGTTTTAATAGGAATGCTAGTGCCTGTCCTTAGACCATTGTTCTCTTAGTCACCTCTTACGACATGGGAAAAGAAGGGGTGGCTCGTTCTATGCCGGGACCGCACGGCAATTAATGTTCAACAATGCATAATATTTTTTTTTGTAATTTCATTTACATATTTATTTATTCCTTTTCAAATTGTATATAGATATTTAGTATTTATTTTGGTGAATTGATAATATCTAGGCGTATGTTTAAGTAGCAATTCCAAATTGCTAGTACTATTTATAGATATTGCTAAAACGTGGTACTAAAAATGTATTGATTTTTAAAACATTTAACGCATCTCTAAAAATCAGTCAATATGAAAGACTTTCATATTAGATACTACATAATTCTTTCAAACGTAATATCCAGCCATTTTTGAACGGAAGATTTAATTGTCGATTCATATTTATTGTCTAGTCCATGGACATTAAACATTTTTATCACTTTTGGCGGGAAACGTTATGATTGGTCGATTCATGACAAATTTACTTGTGATTGGTCTCTAATTTAAACAATGCCTTAGGCGTATACAGATGCTTTCAGTCTGAATATTTAAATATCTTTTTTATTTTTTTTTTTTTTAGTACTCGCCAATAATGTTAGTACTTCGATCTTTGTAGCGCAAAATTAGACAAATTTGTTGTCTTCTTAATTAAGAATCAAAAGTAACTAACAATCCAATTCTTGCGTAATTTTATCTTCATTTCTAGTACTGTTAAAGACCCCCAGTGGAAATAATATTCAAAAAAATTCAAACATTTAAACTCCCTAGACAAGTGGCAAACAATATATGTTTTTGTTATAGCTCGCATTAGAAAGCACAAGACATCTCGTGTCGTCTCTTTGTATCTTATGCACACGATAGCGATATCGTATCTATCGTGAGCGATAATCTAAAAGATGAATTTAATTTTAATTGTTTTAAGTGTACACCTACATACCTAGTGTGGGTTCTGTAATAAAATATGTGGTATAATTAGGAATTGATTGGAAAGCACTTCTAGTGACAAAGGTTCTTTATCCTTTTTTGATATTGTACTATGGTCGTGTACCATTTGTGTCGAGAGAATGAATGATAGTTTGTGTGAACATATCTCTAATCTATGATTCTAAAACTAGGAATTCGTAGACAATTAGTGCCCAGTTAGTGCCAATTAGTGCCATTAGATGAAAATTGGTACTTCTGTATATAATCACCATCATATACCATAAACAACCCACTTTTAGACACTGGTCTTTTACCATAATAAGGTGATATTAGCTTACTGTTACCACCTACGGTGAATAGGCATCTCAGTAGGTTTACTCTCGAGATTTCTTTATCTATGACATCGGGGTCGATTCTGAAGCGCCATTGTTCTCTAAACCTATCTCTAATAAAAAAATTCAATTTGATTGTAGAGACCAATATGAACTAAATTTCTAATACATTCAAATAAAAATTATTATAAATTTGATTTTTGATGGTCCATAAAATAATAGATAATTTCGGAGAATTATCAAATTAAAAGTTTTAAGAAATAAGTTTGTTGCTTCAGAATCGACCCCAGTGATGTATCAGACGTTATTTTTCGATTCTTACAAGGGACAACAACGATCCCTTCGTTGGTCCTGAGTTAGAAAAGGAGGGTGTAGAGGTCGCCCTGCGATCCTTCTACGACGCCTTCAATTTTCATTCATTAAAAAAAATATAGGCCCGCAATAAATTTTATAATTATAGTTTTCAAATACAGAAGAGCTAATTCTTATCTTTGGGTATAAATTAGTACTATTTAAATGCAGATAATTTTATTGGGGTGTATGTGACAAGGGAGAAGCGGTTGGCGATTTTGAAGCTAAATTGGTATTGTAGAGAATTTGAATATAAGATATGTAGGCGATGTGAAGGATAGGATAGAAGCGAATAGCTATTTGAAGTGCTCTCTCCGTATCTTGAAAAATTAAAAAAATAAATTTCATTACAAATGGGTAAACGTCAAGAGTTCTTACCACAAATAAGTTGAACTTGCAATAGACAATTATATTAAACATATGTTGAATTATCTTACTACAGTAAAGGTGATTAATACAGTAGAATCTCGATTATCCGGATCAAATAAAACTAGAGATGTTCCATATAATCGAAAATCCGGATAATCAATTTCAAAGTCAAACAATACATAGAATAATCTTAAGATTTTTATTATGTAAAGGGTTTTACATGCGTTATTTAGACAATACGATATAAAAAAATTACTGGCTGTAAAGATAATGGTTTACATAACACCTATTTGCCCAATTAATACATAATACCATTTCTAAAACGGTAGTTACAGCCGTGAAGAATAAGTCAAGATAATCGAGATTCTACTATATCTATTTATGTCTAATCAAAAGAAACTCTGCCTTATTAAAAATAAATACTAATTAATACACTTTACTATTATAATTTATAGATTATGGCATATAAAATTATAATTAAAAATTATGACATTGATAAAACAATGTTTAACTGCACTTTTAATTCAATAAAAAGATATTATTTAATTACTCAGACAGAGTTTTCGTAAACACTGTTTAGATAGGCAGTTTTTAAAGTTATTTTTGTAGTAAGACCGATAAAGTTATCGTTTGTTGTCCACCAACTTGTATGTCGAATCACATACAACAGAATTTGTTCATATTTTCATACGCATATTGGTAATGGTCAACTGAATAGAGTGACAGCGTAGAGCGATTGCGAAATTAAATTAACAATTATTTTTGTAGTGTCCCCTTAATGATTGGTCTTTAATATTAAGGCCAATCATGAATCAAACATGTCACTCGCGCGACGATGTTAACTCAATGTGTAAAAAATAGTTGTAAGTAAATGTTAATTATTTGTAAGTTGTATATCGATGTATTGTATTGTATATAAAGAAGTGGAAATGAATCTGTGATTTTATTTTATTCCAACTAAAATGTTATTTATTCCAACTAAATTCTCATCACTTGGGACTCTGAAAGATTTAACAATAAATATGTAAGGGTAAATAAAAAAAACACTTCGACAGTTAAAATAGATTTTTGAGGTGTTTGACGTTTTTACAAATAAAAGGGTTTAGTAATAATTGACCGAATGAATAGCAATGCATGAGAGATACTAGATATATTTTGTAATAGATACGTATAATCGAATAAAAGTATGAGAAATGGCAAAGTAAGACTTGCTAGGAGGCCTTTCATATTTGTCTTCATAATTGCTTTATGAAGAAATGGAATTTTTGGCATTCTGGTACTAAACAAGAATTTGGATACACTTCGATATCTAAATTTATACATATTATCTATATGTCTTTTCTTAAAGATGGCATTTTTACTTTGTTAATTATTATCTACTAACTTTTTTAAATTTCAAAACTGTTAAAAAAGTGTAAATTTGGGGTCGTTTTTCAATAATTAAGTAATATAAATGTTGTTGTGGTATCATTAATACTTGGTAATTATTCTCTAAATTAAGATTGCTTTGTCATTTATTTTTATTTTTAATCTAATACCTAAATAAATTGATCTTAATTGAACCCAACTATACCAAATCTGGCCGAAAATCATTTCAAATATACTAATGAAGTTACAGGGTACAAAGGCATAATACTAGTCATTGGGAGGGGGGAGGAGGGGGAGATATTGTTAGTAATGCGGACAACCAGTCCCATTGCTACAAACATACTCTATCAGGACGACCTACACGTTGTTCCTGCTGGAAACCATCTAGATTAATTCTTGTTGAAGTCGTCATGATAGACCAACTAACATGTTTTTATCCTCACTGTTGCCCCGCCAACATTACCGTTAGCGCAGGCTGGGTTACGATTCCTTTATTATACATAAAAAAAAAAACTGTAGTCATCAAAAGGAAAGGAAAGACAACGGATAAGAGTTACCATGGGTGTCATACAGCAGTCTATAGGTAACGGCTACCACTTCTCATCTGCTTAGCATAAAATGATATCGTCATTTTGTGCAACTTAGACTAGCTTAATTTAGACTTTGACATTTACACAAAATGACGATAACAATGAATTAGATATTATTGAAGTGTGTTTTGTTCACAATTCACAACCTTACAATAGCAGACACACAATAAACGAATGAAAGCCAAAACAAGTTGACATTTGAAGGCAATGAGATAACGGCCGTTGACAACCCTACGGAGCGGCACCGTTTGAAGTGCACGGCGGGCTTTTTGTAGTGCCCGCCGTGCCCGCGCGCGCAGGGTTTCGGAATGCACAGACGACAGATTGATATTACAAGCGACACGGCGTAGAACAGTGCGATACTTTGTTTGCAATTTGCAAAAAGCTTTAGAGAAATATCACTAAATTTAATTGTAGGTAGACTTATTTATACAACTTAAAATGGCAAACAAGCTGACGGCTCACCTGATGGAAAGTGGTAACCGTCGCCTATAGACATAAGCAGTACTATGAACATAACACAGTATGCTGTTTCGCCCATGATACCCCCTATGCGTTGCCATTCCTGAGGACTCAGGTGTTATTCCTCTGTACCATGTAAATTCACTGCCATATCCTACCCTTCACCGAAACACAGCCATCCAAACACAAAGTAGGTAGATACCATGTTTAAGAATGGGCATATATATATATAGCGCATGGCGGAGGGACGGGCAGCAGCGTTCCTCTGAAAACATCTCCAAAGCCTATCTGCGGTTGCCAATCCGCCTGCCAAGCATGTCAACTACTGGCGAAACCTTCCTAGGGGAAAGCTTATGTTCAGCAGTGGACAGTTAAAGCCTGATATGATTTGGTTTTCAATCGGGTAAAAGTACTAGTCAGCTGTTATCTAAATTTACAGATGATATTAATGAACATCTCAATAAAAAACAATACGTGTTGGCTTTATTCATAGACTTTTCCCGTGCTTTTGATACCCTAAAACATGCACAAATAATTACTAAACTTGATGAGTCTGGTGTACGTGGGCCTTTACTCAACTGGTGCAAGAACTATTTACAAAATCGTAAATTCACCGTTAAAATAGATGATGTATACAGTGATCATGTACCAGTAACTGAAGGTACGGCACAAGGATCTGTATTAGGTCCGCTACATTTTTTGTCTTATGTTAATAATATGCATAATATCTTGAAACACAGTTCATGTTACCAATTTGCAGATGATACGTGTCTAGTATTGTCTGACAAAAATATTCAAAAAGCACGAGACCTTCTACAATCTGATGTCAATGTCCTTCTTGAACGGTGTCATGATGCCGGATTGGTATTAAATCCAATTAAAACACAACTTTTGATCATAAAATCACCCTATTTAAAATTTCGTCCTCTATATAAACCTATCATTGCTCACAACCACAAGTGTCTACATATAACTAATGAAAGGAACTTTTGCAGCTGCCCCGCTATAACGGTCAAGGACAGCCAAACATATCTTGGCTTAACTATAGATAGTAAGTTTAATTGGAGTAAACACATCGAAAAAATTTGTAACAAATTAAGACAATTTTTAGCTAATATAGTCATCCTTAGACACCGAATTCCCTTTAAGGTAAAATTGATACTGTATAATTCATTGGTCGAATCTTATGTTCAATATGGGTTGTCAAGTTATGGCCGCACTTATAAAACATATTTAAATGATATTTTTAAACTTCAACGTAGAATTTTAAGAACTATTGTATCTCCCAAAATTAAGATGCAGTATTATGACGATGATACTGGTCTTTTTCGACATTGCAATATTTTACCTGTACATCTACAATTTAAATACACATTTCTTAAGGAAAACTTTTTTAACAATAAATATTGGAACGAAATTAATCATGCTGTATATACGAGGGCGGTCGCACGGAAGCAACTTTGTACCAATAGCGCTCGCGTAAATAACTGTTATGGTGAGCGTACGGCTGACTACCTGGTTCCTCGATTTATTAATGAACTACCCACCGATGTACGAGATAATATTACTATTAGCAACATCAAGTGTAAATTAAAACACAAATAACAAATTGATACTTCTTGCATTGTTTTAATACTGTTCGCGACATTATTTGTATATATCGTAATTTATAGTTGTTAAGTCCCTAGTTAATCGTTTCTGTATTCTGTTATTTTATATAGATTTACATAGATTTAAGATAGTGTAAGTTAAATAAAGTATTCCTTTGCGTGTTGTCGTTATTACCTACGAATAGAAATTGTAACAATAAATAGAATTAAGAAATTGTAAATTGCAATAAATAGACGCTATAGAGTACCGATCTGAAGAGACACGCGTCTCGCTCATTCTCGCCCCGTCCCGCTCGCGCAGATTCGCTAACGCGAGTTGGAAACGTTATCGTGCGAGCGGGCGGGTATAAAGATAGGCCGCCTCTCGTCGAGCGGCATTCGCTTCCGGGCAGCGACGCACTACACTCGAGAAGAAATAGGACAAGAAGAAAAAATACTCTCTTCAGACGGTACCGGAGGCTTCAGAATAGTAATCCCTGTGTTTCACTCCAGCCTGAACCAACGCCCCTACAGTCCACGCTCACCGAACGGCAGTCCACACCGTTCATCGTGGTCCTTCGAGAAGCCGGATTGCTGGAGGAACACCGTTGGTACATCGAGAAACCGGATCGCTGGAGGAAGACCATTCTGAAGCCGGATCGCTGAAATGCCGACTACGAGAAACATGAAGTCGTCGCAGCAGAAAATCGCCGTCACCGAAGCCACAGCGTCCGCCGCCACGTCGACTACGGCCGCCGGAACGCTGTCCGTCGCTGCCACGCCGTCCGTTGCTGCCACCACGTCGTCTGCGGCTGTCAGAATGTCATCTGTCGCTGCCACGTCGTCTACCGCCGCCACCACATCGACTACGAACACGTCCGGCGATACGACGACCACAGGAGCCACGGAGACTACCGAAGCCACAGGAACGACAGAGGAGACAGCAAGGAAGAAGGAACCGAAGCACGGCACGGCACGCACGGTTCGCACCACGGCCTCACAGAAGAAGAAGGCTCTGGCCAAGGCACGGGAGGAGCTACTTCGAAAGGAGGTGGAATTGGCTGCCGCACGTGTCGCCGCCCTGGAAGCCGAATCAGAGGACGACGAGGAAGTAGAAGACGACGACGCTACCGTCAGAAGAGAACGAACGTCGGATTGGGTTCATCGAAGCACGCTAGCACTCACGATGGAGCCGCATGTACCAGAGATAGAAGAAGTCACCGGCAAGCGTCAGGGGTTCGTCCCATCGAGACCCGTTGAAGAGGATTCGAGAGCGCCGCCGCCACAGCCGAGCAGCGACGCACTTCACCGGGACCACGCACGCCACGTTGACCCACATGCCGCCATGCCTACGATAGCAGCAGCGATGCAGTCGATGAAGAAGGAAGAACCGGTGCTGAAAGTGGGCATCGATTGTAATGAGTTTGCGATCGCCATGCAGATGGCCGCTCGCAACATACTGCCCTCCACAGCGTCAAGAGTCACCGAGTTGCCAGTCTTCAATGGATCGTCGAGCGAGTGGTTACCATGGAAGATGGCCTATGAAGAGAGCGCAAGTCAACTCACAGAACAAGAGAACCTAGCAAGACTGCGCAGAAGCTTGAAGGGGGCCGCAAAGGACGCGGCACGCTCCCTATTCGTCGGGTCTACGACCGCAGAAGAAGTAATGAAGATGTTAGCCGCGAGGTTCGGCCGCCCTGGAGCACTCGTCACAGCCGAACTGAACAAACTCCGCGCGCTACCACGACTCTCGGACAACGCAAGAGACGTCTGCCTCTTCGCAAGCAAGGTGCAGAACGTCGTCGCCACGATACGAGCGCTGAACAAGAGTCACTACCTATACAACGAAGAAATAGTGAGAAACGTCACAGAGAAGATGCCGTCGGTACTACGCTTCAAGTACTACGATTTCGCCAACGACCAAC